AAATAGCAAGTGGGAGGTGACGGTCAACAGCTCGGGGATGGCCCAGAAGTACTATGTGAAGTTTACAGTGCTCAGACATGAGCAAGGTCCTAAGCTGCTTTCACGGTTTCCTAACTAAAACGGACACAGACACACAAGAGACTTCTGTGCCCACTGTCCCTACATCACCTGCAGACCTGGCCTCTGCTCTGACTGGGGCCTCTTGGGCCCCATACCCTCCGGACCAGGCTTAGTACCTCAGTCCTGCACTCTGAGTCTGTGGACCACACCACTGTCTTGTTGATCCCACCAAGTTGCTGGAAGGTTGATTGTGAGATTACAAAGATCATTTCTGGAATTCAGAGGGGCTGCCAGTGAACCAGGAGGAGAGTGAGCACTGAGAGAGGAGGAAGGGCGCTGCAGGGCCCAGCAGACCTCCACAAAGACAAGGCCTGTCAGCTGAGGACACAAGCATACCCCATATCTTCTTCACAGGACAATGAGTTCCAGGTTTTCTGGACTTAGTTTTCATTCTCTTAAATGGAGTTAATTACATTGTCTTGGGAGTATTCGAAGTCCTGAGCAATTAAGAATCTCAAAGGGCTTTGAAAATACATAAGCTTTCTGTAAAGGCGGAACTTGATATTTATAATGACAACTCTATGCTCATAGGCTCCATAACTCTAACTGCTGGCGCAGGACTTAGTTTTATGACTGGCTTTTTTGAACTTAGTATATTTCATTTCCAATTAATTAATTGATGTGGCAAGGGGACTTCCTGTCTCTATCCAGGGTCTCATTTGGAGAACTTAAGATGTAATCAAAGATTTATCTTAAACATTCTTAGTTAATTCATATGGACACACTACAATCCAGACAACACAGCCCACAGAAGGCTGGTTTCTGGCCCTCTAAAGCCCAGACTCAGGAGGTAGTGAGGTGATTTGGTTTCATTAAAATTACTTAGTAGGGCTATAATGCAAACCACAGACACTCCCTTTTACCCAATGTAAAGAATTTTCTTTGTCAGCCCCTAACAGCCAATCCCCAACGGGCCCCATGCCTTGGCAGCAGAGTTGGCAGATTGACTGTGATGTCAAGGTGTGAATTCGGGCTGCAGCTGGGGAGGGCGAGTGGTTAGAAGCCAGGCTCAATCCAGTTCCCGCAGACAAAGAGTTCCCCTCCCCCATCCGCAGGACGGTGATTGGTGGTTGGCTAACGGTGACCTTGGTACCTCCCTCATTCTCCTGTCTTCCCCCAAGGGATTAATTCACACAATACAATCCCAATCCTTCTCCGAGGAGATGGGAAAGGTTATGGACTGTGATTGTTTCCTATCTTTCGTCAATACAGCATTGATGACTGGAAGGTGAGCGTGAGGATCCACAGTCCCAGTGGCCAGAGGACAGCACTCACGCTCTCTCCTGTCACCTGAGATCTACCTCACTGCAGCCAGAGGAAAAGGAAAGAATTCATTTCCCTGGAGTCGCAGGCGGTCAGGGAAGACGTCTTCGCTCACAGCTTAACGAAGAGTGCCACCTTGTGTCTGATCAGGGAAGACACAGTCCGGAACTAGACAGGTGCTGTAATGGAATCCAGCATCCCTGTGCTCTAAGGCTGCTTGCTTCTCCTTAAGATGGGGCCGGGCGGTGGTGGCGCACGCCTTTAATCCCAGCACTCGGGAGGCAGAGGCTGGCGGATCTCTGTGAGTTCGAGACCAGCCTGGTCTACAAGAGCTAGTTCCAGGACAGGCTCCAAAGCCACAGAGAAACCCTGTCTCGAAAAAAAAAAAAAA